TCTCATCTTGAGTCAAATAAACTACTGTCAGAGAATCAATACGGTTTTCGATCCTCTCACTCTACGGCCGACATGCTAACTGCTGTAACTGAAAAATTTTATCCTGCATTAGATGGAGGTGGTGAGGCTAGGGCTATTGCTCTTGACATATCTAAAGCTTTCGGCAAAGTTTGACATGCTGGTCTTCTCCATAAGCTGGCTTCATATGGTGTTTCTGGGAAAGTTTTTGAGATTATCAAATCATTTCTTTCTTATCGGTTTATCAAAGTCATCCTTGAAGGCCAACACTTTTCTTTATTTCCAGTAACTTCCGGGGTTCCTCAAGGTTCCATCCTGGGCCCTGTTTTGTTTCTTATCTATATAAACGATCTTCCTGACAACCTTTCATCTAAAGTAGCTCTTTTTGCTGATGACTCAACTTTATACTCCTGTCTTGACAAAAAATCTTCTCTTTTCGATCGCCTAGAACAAGCAGCTGATCATGAATCCGATCTCACTTTAGTAATAGATTGGGGTTCACAGTGGCTTGTGAATTTCCACTCTAACAAAACCCAGTTGTTTACTGCAAATAACTACTGTAATATGGTCAACATTCCTATATTAATAAATGGCAATCCTCTTACTGAGTCCTCCTCTTTACGTCTTCTTGGATTATCGCTTACTACTGATCTATCATGGAAACCATATATACAATCGATTGCTAAATTAGCTTCTGCTAAGATTGCTTCTCTTTATCGTGCTCGCCATTTCCTTACTTCTGATTCCATTCTCTACCTCTACAAATCTCTTATTCATCCCTGTATGGAATACTGTTGTCATATTTGGGCTGGTGGTTCTTCTAACAATTCACTTTCTCTTCTTGACAAGATCCAAAAACGCATTGTAAATGTTGTTAGACCTGGACTATCTGCTAAGCTTGAGCCTCTTTCCCATCGTCGTAAAGTTGCATCTCTTTCTACAAATACTATCATGGTCACTGCTCAAAGGAGTTATTATCTCTAGTTCAACCAACTAAAATTCATTCTCGTTTTACTCGTCAGTCAGCTAAGTCTCATTCGTTTACTGTATCTGTCCCTGCATGCTCTAAAAACTTTTATCCATCTAGTTTTTTTCCCCGCACTTCAATCCTTTGGAAATCTCTCCCATCTTCATGTTTTCCTGACTCTTACAACCTTCAACTTTTCAAGTATTTTGTCAACCGTTTCCTTGCTCTATAACTCTGTTCTTTTTTTTTCCTAGAAACTCCCAACTTAATAGTGGTTGCTTGCAGCCTTGTTGGGAGTGAATGCAAATAAAAAAAAAGAAAAAAAAAAAAAATCCGGTACAGCTCTAGTTTATTCACATTTGACTTATAGCCACCTAAAAATTGTTGCTTCAGAACCGTTTCAAACAGTCAATGATGTAATGTATTTTCGTGCTGAGATGTACTAGATAATTTTGCCAAAAACTCTTGTTTATTTAGTTTTTATCCTCAAACATCAGTTCTTTGGAATTCGCTTACTTCATCTTGCTTTCCTGATTCATATAATTTGCAATCTTTTAAGTCGTCTGTCAATTGTTATCTTGCGCTACCATCTTTATCTTTTCTTGTCCAGTAACTAACAGTCCAAAAAACACACTATTTTGTAATCTTTTTTGAACATAACTTATATTTAAATATCTAACTACTTTGCCGCATAAACCTTTTTTCTTGAAGAGAAACCTGTAAGGATTTTTGACTCTAGCCCAATAAACGACATTGATAAGTAAGGACTCGGTGATTCAGGGGTGCTCGGTAATTCAGGGGTGCTCGGTGATAAGACCTTAAGAACTTCTGGAAGCACCTTAATATTTACAAATAAAAAAATAATAAAAATAAAATAAAATAAAAGCTGCCATATCACAACAAATAAAACAACTTATTATATTTATTTTCATATGGCAACAATGTTTCTTAATAGGGTTAAAAAATTTTTTAATAACATTTTTTTAATAATTTTTACACAATTTTAAAATTACATTTTAAAAAGTATATTATTATTGTTTGATTATATTGATTATTTACTTTTAAAACAAAATTTTGAAAAATATACTGATGCAGAAACATGAGATTTTACCTTTAACATTTATAAATATTATGTTTATCTGGTATAGATATTGATTTTTGCATTATTCTTAAAAAATAACTTAAAAAATAAATATCGAAGAGCAAGCACGACTAAAAATTGTTAAATAAACTTTTCTTTGGAGAGAGCTCTGGAAGTTCCTCATTACTGTTTCTCTTATTATAATTGACAACCCTAATTTTAATAATACCATCATTCCCCCCCCCCCTCTCAAGGAATTGATATATTTAAAATAATTTTTATAAAAATTGATATATTTAATCAAACCTTTATCAAAATTAATTAATGGTTAAGAAATCATGATGAGTTGCATCTTTATACCATTGTTAAATACACATTTGATCTCAGGCATTGCGTATGTATTTTTACAAGTTATACATTAATTATATGCCATGTCTTAATAAATCATCATTTTTTCTCTCATTAGTCGTGCTTGCTCTTCGATATTTATTTTTAAGTTGGAATAATGCAAAAATCAATATCTATACCAGATAAACATAATATTTATAAATCTGATGGCAAGTTAAAGGTAAAATGACATGTTTCTGCATCAGTATATTTTTCAAAATTTTGTTTTATAAGTAAATAATCAATATAATCAAACAATAATAATGTACTTTTTAAAATGTAATTTTAAAATTGTGTAAAAATTGTATTGTTGATTTAAGTATCTATTAATAATCAATTGAATCAGGTATCTATTAATAATCAAGCTGAATTTATGCACAGCTGAAATGGTGAAATCAAAAACAATTGGAGGAAAATTTGTGATTAAATTAAAGCACATTACAACAGCCCTGTTCACTAAAGTTATTACATCACCCGGAAGAATTTTGTTCACAACTATAACGGATAATAGTGAGATTATTTGGGCAATCAAACAAGCTTTAAGGCCTGAAGTAGAACGATTTAGGGCCTGAAGTGCAACATTGTTTCTCTCATTAAAACAAAAATGGCGTTTAGAGGTCAACTATATTTTTTATTTGGCAATTTTTTTCTATTGTATTAAATTGCGTTTTTTTACCATTCTTGTATTATTATTCAAACAGGTCAAACTCCTGATTTAGGAGTACAAGTGAGCGGCAATTTTTTCAGAGCTCTGTAAATTATTTCAAATCATAACAAAATATTAAAAAACTATCTAAAAAAAGTATTAAAAGTATTTAAAAACTATAAGTATTAAAAAACTATCTAAAAATCTATCAAAAAAATGAACTTTGGATGCAGGTCCATTACCTCTCATAGAAATCACAGAATAAGTTCATACATGAGTAGGCACCATTGGAGCAGTGTGTTTATTTAAAGGAAATTATGAGTGTAAGATAATTTATGGTCATTACTGATGAAACGCCAAATGTGTCACAAACAGAACAAATCCTTTTTATTTTTTGATTTGTATATTTTAATTTCAACTAAAAAAGGTGGGAGTTAAATGAACATTTTCTTTGAGTTGAAAAAAATGAACATTTTCTTTGGAGAAAAATACAGGAGTACATTCAAATTAATCTTGGCCTGAGATTTTTTTGGTAACATATGAATTCTTTACGTATTCTTTAACTGCAGTCCAGCTAGGTGAAAGATGTTACAAAAATTGACAAGAATTTCTCTTCACAAGTTTTCAGATATTATGTGGTCAGCTTAGATTGCCGCGATTAAACCAGATGCAAAATGACCATGAGAAATTATTGTTGCTCTCAATCGCACTATAGAGGATCTTAATCTGGAATCATTTGAAAGTACTGTACTGTAAAAATATCAGTATTTTAACTCATTGATAACATACAAAAATAGTTAAAAACTTAAAAAAAGTACTTGCTTAGTTTATGTACTTGTATTTGTAAGGAAAATATAAAAATTTCAATATAGAAAAATTTTTTCAAGTCAAAACAAACAAGCACTGGCTTTTATTAAAGTTTTTCATTAAGTTTGAAGGAAACTGGAAACTGGATGGAAAAACCATTTGTCAATAAATTTTAATTAAAAATCAATGCCATTGGTTAAAAGCCCCAGTATGGTTATGAAAATTTTCTTATTTGATTAGTTAGTCTCTATCATGTTGAGCTTAAGGCCCCTCTCTCTTAATACAATAACACAAGCCATTTCATTATATGAACAGAGCAAATGGGGCTTAATACCCCCTGTTATGCTATATACATAAATAAATTTAAAAAAATATATAAAAAAGCATTTTTGAAAAACCTTATAATAATATATATATATAGCATAAAACTTTTTCAGAAAAAAAGAACAAAAAACAAAGAATAATGAAAGAAAAGATTGCTGCCAGCCCAAATCCTCAGTTGATTTAGCGACACTCCTTTGTGGCAGCAGGCTATAAGATAGTCGATGTATGTAGTGAAGCCCCTGACAGCAAGATAAAAAATTATATATATATATATATATACACACACACACACATACACGCATACACACACACATGCGCACATACACATGCACACACTCAAAAACTAAAAGGACAGATGACTAGAAGAATAGAATGACTCCATTATAAGTTGAAAAATAATTTTGATATAAACTGAGGGGTTCATATAACTTTTAATAAAAAATCGAAATTTCTACAATATTTCAGAGCATTCTAGAACACTTTCGAAAATCCAGAAACAACATAGTTTGGTTTTTTCAAAGTGTTTTACTTAAAAGGTTGCATTATTGATTATAAGTGAAAACATTTTATCATTCCCCCCCCCCCCCACCTATTTAAACATTAGTATTAACAACAAAGTAAAAAAAATTTTTTTTGTAATTTTATTACAAATTAACAACTAATTAAAAAATTTTGTTTTGTTATTTTGGTTTTAGTTTGTACTTGAGTTGATCAAGTACAATTGATCAAAATCCAAATGTAAAACCATAAAATTGAAACATTATACTTACCTGCAATGCTCAGGCCAGCAACTATAAGACTAGTCATTTATTAAAACCGATCTTTTAGTATATGTACATTGTTTAAAAATTTAGTTATTTGTAACTACAAAAAACGTGCAAATGGAAATATACCAACATATACCGCAGACTTTTTTGTTTTCGGGCTCAATAATATACCATTATCCGGTAATGATAGTATAATCGTTTATCTTGACATGTTTTCCGGATAGATATCCGGATAGATATCCGGATAATACGCTATTTTGGTGTTATACCGCATAAAAGTAATCAACATTAAATGAAAGCAATAAAATAATAAATCACAGGTATTAAATCACAGGATTTCTTAAATTATATATCAATAGGAAAAATTAAACAGTTTTCAATGTTATATGTTTTATAGAATTACATTCTTTCCATAAAAATGCATTGGAAGATAACTTTTTAGACTAAAAAATAATAGCATTCTTGAATGTGACTTTTATCAAATTTTGTATGTTTCTCTAAAAATCTGAACACGTATGGCTAAACTTTTGCCTTTATTCTTTTAATTCATTATTGATTTTGATATTACCGCAGAATATCTTTACATAACACGTGACAATGACTTTCAGTCAACTACGTTCAGTTTTTTTAAATATGAAATAAAATTGTTAGATTTAAAAAATAATTTTTTTTAATACAAAAGAGATTTTTTCCAACTAAGAGGCTCTGCATAATGCGAAAAATCATGCAAAAAAGGCTCTCTTTTTACTATGTTTATATAGCAATAATAATTTCGAATTATTTTAATTAAAACTAAATTCCATAGTTAGTGCTAAGCATTTATTCGCCATCGGATAGGTATCAACGTAATCTGATTGTCAATAAACATTAATTAATTCAGGTATAACCTCTTCATTAACAACCGTACTTATTTAGAGCAGCTAACATCAGAAACAAAAGATCCTTGGTTCGAACCCCACCTCTGGGAAAGTTTTGCGACATCGGTTAGGAAGGAAGCAAGGACTTCTCTTCCGCGATGCTTTATGATAAGGCCGTAAGGACTTCTTAGGACACTTAAAAAAAAAAATATTGAGGAATTTTTAATCAGAAAAAATTGCAAAACCTCTTCTTTTAGTACAGATTTAGAGTTACTTCGAAAATTTTTTCAAAATAAAAATGTATTTTAGTCTCGACAAAAAAGGTCAGGGTTTTTTTTTCATTATCCAAACAATCTTTTTTGTGACATTTGTGTCTTTAGTCGAAAGTTTTAACTAGCAAAATTTTTATTTATTTTTTTACCTGCTTTTCTTAATATCCAATAATATCCAGATATTCTATGAATATTCTATATAATATGATATTCTAGGGCCAACTACACCTGGGGGACTAGAGCTCTCCAGGTTTTTTCTTCAAAAAAAATTTTAAATTTAGCGGACTTTTTTTTAGATATTTAACGATTGTAGCCCATTTCGAAACATGTGTTGTTGGACCTGATTAAAGGATCAAACTTTTCATAAAGTGGACTTATCCTAACAATGAAGTGGACCAATTGAAGTAATGATTTCTCAATGTTATATTACTTGTTTTTGTAATTTTGAATTTGACTCATTTCAATAGGTGTTGCTTACAAAGCGGATTTGAAACGGTGTTTCAGTGATATCCAAAATTTTTCCATCGATGGCAGTGAAAAATAATTGCAACAAAAAAAAAAAGCGAATCATAAGAAAATATATAACTCATCAAACTTAAATCAGGAAAAATCCATAAAGTCCCCAATAAAATCACTGCCTCCATAAAATCCCCAATTTAAAACAAAAATTAACTTAATTGAGCTATAATAATAATAAAAAAGCTTCTTTTTAAGTAGATTTAGATATAACTAAAGCTTTTTGTGATTCTATTATGCTTTGAACAGTATGAATCAAAAGGTTTTATAATGACACTTTTTCCTCCTTGTCAAAGATGTGCATGTTATTTGGTCTACTTTTTTTTTTTATTTCCAAAATATTGGTGTTAAGTGGATAAATATCTACACCTCTTATTTTCCTTTTTATCTTGTCACCATATACTGAGATTCAGTAAAACCATAATCACCATGTAGTGAAATTCAGTAAAACAATAACATAATAAAAAAGAATAAACTATGATTATAAAAGTGAGTGTATTAATCGCTAGGCTTTAGATTCTGGGACCATAAAGTCTTTAATCATTAAAACGTCGTTAGGAAAGATTTAAACGACAATTCAACTCCTTGATAAAACCGCTATAATATTCGCAGATTAGAAATTTAATTTTTAAAAACTCATTGTTTTAAATTTTAGCATTATCATAATTGCGCCCATATATAATCACAAAATGGATTTATGTTACATCTGGTTTACCCAACCGGCGTACTTTACTGCGTGGCTGATAATAGATACCGCATACTAGCTTTGTTATGAATACATAACAAAGAATATGAATATGCTATCCGGGACACCCTATAGGGTTTCTTGGACAACATATTCGATTAACCCTTCAGAATATACAACAAAACTGTATAATTTTAATTAAAAAAACTGTATAATTTTAAATTATTATAGAATTAACAAAACAAAATAAGCAAAGTTTTGAAAAAAAGCGTGTTTAAATTATTATACTAATATGGAAATTTCAATTAAAAACATAGAAAAGTTAATTACCAACAAATTAGAAGAACAAAAAAAATCTATTCTGAAAGAAACAGAGAAGTTATTAAAGGAACAAGAAAAGAGTTTTGCTTCGATTATGAGTGCTAACTTAAAAATATTATCGGAGAGAATTGAAAAACTAGAAGTTTATGTAAACAATAACAAATGTAATGTGACAAATATTCAAAAAGATGTAAGTGATATTAAAACAACTCTAAATTTCCAAGAAACAAGCTTAATGGAAAAGGTTGTACAAATTAAACAGTGTCATGACAAGGATTTAAATATTCTACACAAAAAAACAATCGATTTAGAAAATAGATCTCGTCGAAATAATCTACGAATAGATGGAGTTGAAGAAAAACCTAACGAAACTTGGAGCGACTGTGAAAATACAGTAAAAAATATCTTCAAAAAACAACTGAAAATTGATGGAGAAGTGATTGTTGAAAGAGCTCATCGTGTTGGCAAATCAAGGGATAGTAAACTACCAAGAACAATAGTTTTGAAGCTTTTAAATTACAAAGACAAAAACAAAATTTTAAACGCCGTGAAAAACTTGCGTGGAACAGGTGTATATATTAATAAAGATTTTGCAAAAGAAACGATTGAGATTCGTAAAAAGCTATGGGAAGAAGTAAAAAGATTACGCAGTGAAGGCAAGTATGCTATTATAAAATATGATATGAATTTAGAAGCCCAAACATTAAGTTTTAAAAAGAAATTTTTCTAAAAATAAATGCCCCTTAAAAAAAAAAAAAAAAAGCATGGCTGGGACTAGTGATTTTGAATCCATAAAATTCAACTTTTCTGAAATAAATAATAATGAAAAAGTAAAACCCGATATAAATAATTTACACGACACGCTTATCGATTGCTCATATCACTATCCGAGCGAATTAGAAGGGTTTCTTTTTAAAAATGTTGGCGATAAAAGTTTTAGAATTCTCCACGTAAACATACGAAGCCTTAATAATAATTTTGAAAAACTTATCAGTTTGTTAGAGGAAACAAAAGACTGTTTTAATATAATTTGTTTGACTGAAACGTGGATTTCGAATGATTTAAATAATTCTTCAAACTTTTATATTCCTCATTTCAAATTAATTTCACTCCATAGGCAAGTAAATAAACGCGGCGGAGGAGTTCTTATATATATAAACGAAAACATTGTTTATTATGTTAGGAATGATTTAAGTGTATCTGATGGCGATAAAGAAATTTTAACTATTGAAATTATAAACAATAAATCAAAAAACATATTGTTAAGCTGTTGTTATCGACCACCTGACGGCGTGAGTGAGAACTTGAGCATTTTTTTTGAACAAAGTATTTTTAAAAAAGGTATTAAAGAAAAAAAAAAAATTTTTATTATTGGGGACCTAAATATGAATTGTTTTCTATACAGTAAAGATAATAAAGTCAAAAACTTTTACGATTCTTTTTTCGAAACTGGAGCAATCCCGTTGATTAATCGTCCAACAAGAGTAACAAAAAACTCAGCGTCTTTGATTGATAATATAATTACAACAGATATATCCGATAATGATATCCAAACCGGTATCCTAAAATCGGATATATCTGACCATTTTCCATTATTTTTGTTGCTTAAATCAAACTCTGAAAAAATAACCAAATCAAATAAAATTAAAATACGCACTTTTAACGAAACCAATATAAAACAATTTAAAAGCCAATTATCACTCCTACACTGGAAGCATATTAACTTTAATGATAATGCAGACAAAATTTACAATAAATTTTTTGAAACATTTTATTCCGTGTATGACGCTAATTTCCCTATCATTGTAAAAACTCTAAATCCAAAAAATATAAACAACCCATGGGTGACCAGGGGATTTAAAAAATCATCAAAAATAAAACAGAAGCTTTATATAAAATATCTTAAAACAAAATCATCTGCAAATGAAAAAATATATAAAGAATACAAATACCTATTTGAAAAAGTTCGTAAAAACTTGAAAAAAAATTACTACTCAAGACTCATAGATAAATTTAAAAATAACTCAAAACGCACTTGGCAAATAATGAATGAAATTAGTGGTAGACAAAAAAAATGCTCAGGTTCCCTCCCCCAAACGATTGTAGTTGATAACAAACATATATGCGAATCAAGAGCTATAGCTCATGAATTTAATAAATTCTTTGTTGACATCGGTCCCAAACTAGCAAAAAAAATTCCTTATACAAATGCTACATTTAGAGATTTTTTAGTCCAAATGGATAACTGCACTAGTTCCAACGAATTATCTTCTGAACTATCTTTACAAGAGTTTGAAAAAGCTTTCAAAACTCTTTAAAAAAATAAATCAACCGGAGCAGATGATATAAACGGTAATATAGTCATAGAATGTTTTGAATACCTAAAAGATATCCTATTTAAAGTATATGGAGCATCTATACGCCAAGGAGTTTTTCCAGAACAACTAAAAATTGCTAAAGTTACTCCAATTTTAAAAGAAGGTGATCAAACAATTATCAGTAATTATCGCCCTATCT